GGAGGAAGTGTCTGGAGAGAGGGAGGTCTGGGCATCTTTGCTTAGACTGCTGCCCCCGCGACCCGGCCCCGGATAAGCGGAAGAAAATGGATGGATGGACCTTTATTTGGCTAAGTATGTTACACACAGGGTTGTCTTTAAAAATCTTAAGAATTTAAAATAATATAATCTGCACTGTTATGTGTGCTGGCATGATGTTCCTACAGATGGAAGTAGAGTTTAAACTACATGCTTGATGTCAAAACCAAGAAAAACCAAATGTACACTAGCTCAACAACATGTGTGAGCAACAAAATCACAGACCAGCCTGTAACAGATTATTTTCAAACAAATGTAGCAAATTTGATTATTAAAAAAAAAAGTATGAACCAGGTTTGATCCACAACTCCAAGGGGAAACCAGAAAATAATGAATTCAGTGTTGTGGTGCCAAATGCTCAGCAGTATCAAAGCAGATGGACAATACACTGAATTATTAAATGCCCTGTTTGCTTCTGCTCATTCCACAGTTAACAATTCAGTGTGTTTACTCAAAATTATGGAAATGAGCCTTGTCTGAATACACGGTAATAAATAGAATTTTTTTTTATTGACTTGTTTGAATTCATGCTACTGTTGAATTTACTGGCTGTAGTTTCATATTAGAAATGACAGAGTAGTGAGTTTTCTCATCTGGTTTTTCCACCAGAAAGGTTAGGTGTCTAAAACACTCAGAAATTGTGTTTACATGCTACACAACCATCTACTGTTCCATCTTCCATGCTCTTACTCTTTGCATTGGTGCTCAACATTAGCACTAGGTGTAAATTGTGGGGTGTGGAATGGTCAAAAAAATTGACATTATTCCAAGTGGATACTATAAAAAAGTGTCTTGTTTTACAGGTGGTGTCTGCAGGACCCCAAACACAACATAAAGTAAGTGTTAAAACTAAACCACCGAGCCTTTCAGTGTCCTTTTGTAGTCCTCTGGGTGGAGCATTATGTTTTCAGATTGTGTGTCCGTCCATCATGTTCAAGAAAACCATGTAGGCTAAGGTCAACTAGCAAGCTAACCCTGTCTTATGTTATCAACAGGTTATTTGGAAAGAAATCTTACATCACAACAAGTTGGTTTCATAATATCCAGTTCGCCCATATTTAAAATTGCCCTGGGGGGTGGCAGGATTGGTTGGTGCCCTTACTAATGTTGAAAACAAACCTACACCAGGGTCAAAGGTCAAGGACACAATGACCTCACAGCTGTTCAACTCTTGTGAATGCAGTATCTCAGGAAGACCTTGAGGGAATTTCTTCAAATTTGCCACAAACATCCATATGGGCTCGAGGATGAACTGGAGCTTTCCTTTCAGCTCCAGTTTCACTCTTACACGAACACATGCGCACCCAATCTCTCCTTAATAGAATTAAATCAAGGAGCCTGAAGAGACTCATTCTTACTCCTCTGATATCAACATCAGATCTTATTAAATAATGTTATTACATAGTGCATCTTCTCCCGGGCAGGTGAAAGTAGCTAGAGTAGCTGCAGCAGCTTGCTGGTAGTAATTCTCACTAAACAGGAAAGCCTGGTTGCTGCTGAAATGGATGCAAGATGGGACTAATTTGGCGCTTAAATTATCACCTCAGAAGCAACCACTACATGTAACATCTAGTAGAAGAGCTGCATTTTAAAGCTTTTTGTTTATCAGTTTGTTTCCTGCATCTTTCAAACATACAGGGGAAGAAGAATGCTCTGAGTATTTTACTTTTCTCCCCTCTAAAGTTTTCACTCAGCTGGATGAATAAACATTAGAAAGTGATGGTCGATGTTTTAGAGGAGAAAATTGTCCACTCTTGTGTACTTTTCCTGTCATGTCTTTGAGTATCTCCTGCAAAGAAAGCTGCTGGAAATGATGACAGCAAGTGTGAAAAGCTGATAATAGTGATCTGAAAGGATGTCAAACCATTAAAGGGGCTGTAAGGCATGTGCAGCCTTGATGGGATAAATGCCACATGTTCAGCTGTTTCATGACGAATAGTTCAGTATAGAGGCTTTTAAGATTCTTCTTGGAAGCCCATTTGTCAGAAACAATTCAAATGAACAAACATGGCTTGTTTGTTTAGACCAGTTCGATTGTTAGACCAGACCAGTCTGTCTAAAATCTAAAACCAGTTATTACAAAAGAAAACTTAATGTCATTCAAATGATAATCCCAAACAAAAGGAAACACGCTTTAAATCTACGGGCAGAATATTAACACAGCTACTTGGGAGTTTTTCTCAAGGATAATTTCTGTTATCGCCGTCCAACATTTTTTTGGGATTCAAGTCTCCAACTGCTCAGACAATCTGTTGGCCGCTGCTTTAATTACGTCAGAACATGCTTTTCAGATGAAATGATATTTAAAACGGGTGTTTCAAGCTGGCAAATATTCTGTGCACCTAGAAAACACTACCGATGTCAGTCAAAAACATCCCCACAAAAAGTAATTCCAGTAAGCTCATAACCCAGGAGAAGCTGACATTTACACACACAAGCACTCACACACTCCCATGATACGTGAACACAGCATACACGTGTGCCTGGTCCAAAAAATCAATTGCAGAAGAGGAAAAAGTTGATTGTGTGCAAGTTGGTTTTGTTTGTCCGGGTAATTGAGTATGAAAAAAAAAATCAATGGCCTCACATTCATTTACCGGGGAAGGTTTGTACAACTTTAACCCAAGCCGATGACCTTAACAAATTTGTTTGCCCCTTTTAGTGTGGACTATCTGTCAGCCCAGGCAGGTCTGTACCTTGTATACTATGAGTTGGTGATTGTATATTATGATTTCAGCAGTTCATGTGTAGAAAAACAGTGAGCCTCAGCTTTGTAGACAGGATCAGGAACCAACTGAAGTTAAGGAAGATGTCATTTTCTTATATGTAAACATAAATATATGTATTTATATCAGCTTCTACCGAACATTTCTTAGTGCTTTGAAATATTTTACCACAACTTTTAACATGGTTTTCACATTTATTATAAAGAGAAAGAGTGAGAGGAGTCACAAACAGTCGTCCTTTTGTTACGGTCACAAGCTCCAGGTTCCAGGTGTGCCTGTTCTCTTGGGAAAGATCAGATGAGCAGAGACCAACTGTGTGGTGAGTGTAGCTCCTTCATACTTTACTGTGCTGGAGGTCAGATGTGGAATTGGGGACCTATATGTTAATGCAGTAAGAGCCACAAGGAGAGGAGGAAGTTTGTCCCTTGTAGTCATGAAGACGAGGCTAGGCCTTCTGATGTTCACATCTGGTTTGTTTGGAAAGGATAGTATGACAAGGCCTTATACCTGAAACACAAAGCAGATCCTGGTCTGTGTGCTGGGAGGCGGTGAGGAGTCATTCTGCTCCTTACTGCCTGGAAATCAAAGTCGGTTATTAATTATGAGTATTTTTAGTTCCTGAGGGAAAAACATCCCTTCCAAATGTCTCTGGACTTGTGAGCACAACACCCAAATAGAGAGAGCACCAACGCTAGTAGCACTATGGTGCACAAGCAGTCACACAGAGCAGAAAAACCCTTCACCAATGAAACCATTCAGCTCTTGTGCTTTATTTTTTTCTTCATTTATTCTGATTTTTCCTTTAATCTGTCACCCATCTCTTCATGGAGCGGAGTCATAATATGGCTGCATTAAGCAAGTAGAAAAGCAGTGCACAGGATCAGTATGAGAAGGCAGAAAGCCTCTTCTACAGTACATGTGCTAAGTAATGGTTTCACTTCAGCTCTGTGCTCATCCTGAATCCCTGCATCACTCACTTTGATTTAGAGTTTCAGATTCAGTGTTTTGCACATTGAGACACTGCCTCTGGGTTTGTCTGAATTTCAGACATGTCCTCTGAGGAGACAATCCCATCACTTAATCAAAAGCACAAAGCACTATCATGTGCCCTTATTCATTTCAAGGTCCTGTTCAGTGGTAGGAAGGGTTCCTTTGCCAAAGCATGTTTTACATATCAGTGTCTTCTTGGCGATATATAAAGAGCTTATGAAAGGCACCCTGTGGAAGCTTCAACATTAAATTGGCACTAACAACAAACCTAGTCAAGTGTAAACATGTCGTACCAAAGCACACTCCTCTCAGAGTGGCTGCCTTCCTGCCCTCAGTTGTGACTGACAGTGCACATCCTCTAAACACTATGAGTGGAGCTTTGAGGGCACAGACTGGATAAACCCTGTCTCTGTACTTGCTGTTGCTCCGGGCCAGTGAAGGGATTTTGTTTGGGGGAGTGTGTGGCGCTCAGCCACAATATATTGTGGGGGAGCTGGTGAGTCACGGCTGTATGGAAGCAGTGATAGAGACGGAGAACAGCTTTCTTAATGTCTGTAATACCCAGGCAGACACGTAAGGCCTAATGGACCATGGCACCTCCCAAAGCACCAAAAGGAACAAGGACTAGCAGCTCATCTTTTTATCATTACACATTTATTTGATGATGCTGATGTGCCCACAACCAGGATTAACCACCCTCCACTGCCCTTCTTTTTGTCATTTGTTTTATTTGACTGTGACTTATGGTTTAATATTTTTAAGGCTAGAAAAACTTTGCAAGACAAAAGCATTATCGCACTGAGCGAGAAGGTCCTTTCCAGTGTGATTTAAAGCCTATGGGCATAACCTTTTGCCCTACTGAGCATGAGAGTGAAAACCTAACCAAGCATGAAGGGCTTGTCTTGTCCACTCACACGCTGACACATTGCTGATTCATAGACAGCCATGTTTTTCTTTTTATCTTCAAGTTTCAATGACACACAAACAAGCAGTGTAAAGGCAGATATTTTTTTTCCATTTCAGTGAGATGGTAAACAAAGACAGATAAAACCAACGGTGAAAGTAGAGTAGTTTTTTTTTTTTTTATAAGTGTTCCATTTCTCTTTCCCGAAGTGATCCAAAGGGTGAGATTCTCTTTCATGGTTTGGCTTTTTGTCCATTTCAGAGGAAAACACATTTATACAGAGAGAAACAGCAAATTGGATTTTGGAGGAGGTAAAAGTTGAGGCTCTGTGTGTGGTTGTTTCTGATACTGTCATATGAGACTTGAAATGTACAAGCAATGGTAAACAACCAAAAACTGAGGAAAGAGAAGCTTTTACTCTGAGTACAACAAATTCAAATACAGTAACTCTCCATTTCTGACATTTTAGCTTTTTATACTTCTGTTTGCTAACAACAGAATCAAACACATTACCGACCATGTAAACAGTAACATATTGTCGTGGTTCAGTTTAGAAATGGCAGACTGGAGGAACTGTACTCACGTACTCACTGACAGACAGGGGAGGTGATGTTAGAGTTTATTATGTGACACACGCAGGAGAATAAACTTGGGGCTTATTATGAGTCCAGGCAGATAAGGCTGAGCAGGGAGATCCAGAGGCTAAATGAGTCCAAAACAGGGGTCAGAAACAAGCAAACAGTCAAGATTAATAAGAGGAAAGACACCGGATACAACTGGCTGTTAACTTCTAACCACAGATTAAACCAAATGACATGACAGTCTGAACATATGCCTTTCCCAACTGTCGTCAACATAGAAAAACAGTTTTAGCTCTTTCTGTGAAGAAAGGCAGATTAATGGAAGAGATTTCCTCTTGAATTCTATGATTCAACCAATTTAAAAACTTTTCATGTGATGTGCTGTCACCCCGACACAGGCTTTTAAGGCGAGAATACTGACATGTAAGGAAATGGATCCATATGAAGAACTCTGTCAGTACTTTAAATGTTTTTTCCTCAGTCCTCTTCAGATGTAAGATGTGATTGAAGTGGCCAGTAGTGAAATCCTCATTCATTGGCTGGACCACTTTGTATTTTAGCTTTAAGATAGAGGAGATAAACAGATATTTGGAACAAAGTTGGATTTTTTATTGGGTGTTTTAAAGTAGTTAGGGTTCTGTAGTATCTGTAGCTCTCACTGTATATATTAGTTCCTCAGCTCACATTGTTGGATGTGCTCTCTCCTATCTAATGGCTGCACTCACTGGCTTAAATGGAAAGAGGAACAAGTGGATTAAAACACTAGAGCTTGTGCATGAAAATGACTATTTCATTGCATTTGAATGTATGGCTACAACATTAGCTCAGTGAAATGGATGCCAGACAGTTTATGATACAGTTTACAGAATTTCTGAATCAAGTGGAAACATGACTAAAAGTTACACATAACAGTGTCATGTCTGTATTATTCAGCGTTTGGTAATTACTCTAAGCACAGCATGTTTGTACAGCACAATGCAAATGAGATTCCACATAAGGATATGAGACTCTATTACACATGCAGGAGTTGTAT